GGTCTAGGAGCCCGGTGTCTCCTTGCCCCTGAGGCTTCCATAACCGTTTCTTCTTTCTTATTACCTTTGGCCATTCCTCCAGACCCGCCTTGGATGGCTTGGGAGGTTGCCCTAATGGCCGACTGACTCAAGATTCTTCCTGTCTTCAGACCATTCTCCACCATTTCACCAATCTTAATCGCCTCTGCAAAAGGTTTGCCCATGGCCGACATCATGTTCTGAAAATAGTCCGCTTCCTGGGCCTAGAAATACAGTGACCATTTCTACCTCATCCATTGGAGGCTTCACTCTTGACGCCTGTTCGCGCCACTTAATTGCATATTCTCGAAAACTTTCTGAGGGTTTCTTCTTCAGATTAGCCAAGGAGTTCCTGTCCGGCGCAATGTCTATATTGTACTGAAATTGCCTAACAAAGTCTCTGGCAAGGTCGTCCCAAATATGCCAACGTGACACGTCTTGGTCCATATACCACTCGGAGGCAATGCCGATTAAGCTTTCTCCAAAATACGCCATCAACAATTCCTCTTTGCCACCGGCTCCCCGTAACTGATTGCAATACTTCTTCAGGTGAGCAATGGGGTCACCGTGCCCGTCATACTTCTCAAATTTTGGTGTTTTGAAACCTGGTGGCAGATGTACATGAGGGAACATACATAGATCCGTGTATGAGACACTCTTTTGCCCGCTCAATCCTTGCATGTTTTTCAAGCTCTGCTCGAGGCTTCTCATTCTCTTTGCCATTTCATCCTGCTCTGGGTCTTTGGGGGTTTGTCCTGCCCTGGTGTAGGCTCGTATGGGGGTGGCTGAGAGTAATTATATGTGGGATATTGAGGAGGATCTGACGGAAATACAGGGTTTTGGAATGTGAATGCTGAGGGATCAAAGGCAGGCCTTGGCAGCGAAGGTTGTGTTGTAGCAGGACATGGTGGGGCAGTGAAGATGTTAGGAGCTGCTCCCGCTGGGAACACCTGGGGGCGAACCTCAGAAGGCATTCCAACGAAATGAGCGGTCATGGTAGGTTGCCCAAAAGGGGTAGGAGGGTGACTGATAGAGACTGTGGTAGCACCTCCAGCTCTAGGGAATAACTCTGGGAATCCGGGAATATTGCTTGGGGGTTCCTTTCCATTGTTCCAAGCATCCCACATTTCCATCAGTCGCAGGCGCAAGATCCGATTTTCTTCAGCTGTAAAAGATTCAGAGGCCGGGACCCCCGAGATGGGGCTATCTTCTGAGATGGGGACTGCGGGCAAAGTCATTTCTGTAGACATTTCCACACTTCCTTTCGATCTGGTAAAGTATTGATGCGATGCCAGCTTACCACAACCAACCACCGTTTCTAAAAGCTAGGCTGGAAATCAGCAACACACGGTTAGTTTGAGACAAGTAACAGATAGGTAATCGTACATTGGGGTGTGATGCACCTATACAGTTAAACGGTTGTCTACATGTTTGCACTGGTTGCATGCGTCATTCCGGCTTTTTTTTTTTTTCTTTTTTCTATTTTCTCTTCTTTTGATTTTCACTCTTTGTTTTTCTTGCTTTTCTTTCTCTTTTTGTTTTTCTCTCATTTTTCCTTTCCCTCTGTTTTTCATTTTCTGCTTTTCCTTTTGCCATGGTCTTTCTCTCGATTCCTTATTTTCTCTTTTGCGTTTCTTTTCCTCTCTTGTTTTTCTTTTATTTCCTTCCCTCGTATTTTTTTTTAGGGTTACGGTCGAATCCTATGGAGATTGCCTACGTATCATAACCCCGCATGAATCAGACCAAGCGTAGTTCTTGCAAATAGGGTAAATAAACTAACTTTTTTTTTTTGGAATTTTGAAAGAAATGCTTTAAAAAAAAGGAAAACAATTTTTTTTGATTTTTGATTTTGATTTTTCTTTTGATTTTTGAAGAAAGACTTCTAAACAATTCTTTTCTTTTTATTGGAACTTCGGAAATTTTTAGAAGTAAAAAGAAATATTTTTGTTTTTCTCTTCTTTTTTTTTTTTTTTGATTTTGAAAGTTGCCTCTTACTTTCTAAAAAGGGACTTTTACGAAATGTTTTGGATTTTTGAGCAAAAATATTTTCGGACTCAATTTTCAAACCGTTTTTTTTTTTTTATATATATTTTTCATTTATGAAAGAAAGACATCTAAGGAGTATTTTAATGACTTATTTTGACTTAAAAGGAAAAGCGGCTATTTTTGCAAACTTTTCTTTATCTAGAAAAACAAGGACTTGGTTTTGCAGATACGGCCTTTCAGCACTTCTGGGAGGAAGATTTTAAGGCTGTGCCCGCAAACCATTTAAAATGACTCAGGGTGGCTGTTCTTGCCAAAATAGCCTTCCGACGTCCTTTTGGGGACATTCGGCTTATTTTAAAACGAGAATGGCATCACCCGACTTATTTTGTATTAAAATTTTGGTATTTTTTGGCTATTTTTGCAAAAGGGTGGTTGGACCCGATGAGGGTTGCCTACGTATCTCACATTCGGTGAGAATCAAACCGGCGTAGTTCGGGCAGATTGGGAACTGATTTGAACTTTGGGAATTTTAAAAGTAAAAAGAAAATACTTTTTGTTTGAGTTTTTCATTTGTTTTCTCTGTTTCTAAGGAAAAAGAAAATATTTTTGGATTTTGGATGTGACCTCTTAATTTTCGAAAGGGGGACTTCTTTAAGAAAAATATTTTGAATTTCTGAGCTTTTATTTATTTATAAAAGTACTTCTAAGGAAAAGCAAAAATATTTTTGGAACTTCAAAATTAGTTTTTTTTTTCAAAATTTTTATTGACATTTACAAAAAAAAAAGACTTCTAAAAAAATAAGAGTATTTTTGGATTTTTGTTTCTGATTTTTTTNTTGAGCTGCACACAAATTACAGAATAAACATTCCAAACCTTACACACTCCACAACAATCCAAATCAATATTAACAATATCTGAAAGAAACCAAAGGTAAAAATCAAATCATTTCACAAAATCTTATCCCCTTTTACCGAGAACCAGTGTATACCTAAACAAGTACAACCTCACATCGTATATCAACACTATAACACTCATGAAGCTTAAAAAAAAGGAAAAAGAAGAGGCCAAGAGAGCAAACAACCAGTTCCCAAATTAGCAATATAAGCTTAATTTCATCAATAAATCCATGCCGTGAACCAATCAGAAAACATCAGAGAGCAATTCCAACATATATACACAAACAAATTTCAGCAAAATTATAGCACATGGATATCCAAATAACCATTACATTTCGATATTGAGATAAATACCTCTAAACTGCAACAGAGATAAACTTGAGTATCCAAATAAAGACGGAAGGGAAGCTGGAGCTCAGCGACAAAGCAGAAAATAGCAGCAGCAAATCAACCCGGACCGATTTGAATCAATAAATAAAATCTCTAATGACGACTCGAACGGAACTTTGACAAAGCTCAAGGATGGTGTTCGGACTGATTATTGAAGCTATTTTTTTAGCCCATTTTTTGGGCTGTTTTCAACTGATTTTCATTGCATTTTGTGACAATTTTAGCTGGATTTTCACATGGTTTTATAGTAGTTTAAGTGGCTGATTTCTACTGTATTTTTGGGGTGATTTTAGTCGCCACTACTCTTAACCTCTCCTCTCTGTTCGTGTTTGTGTGTTGGCTGCTGTGGAGAAGATGGAGATGGAAGAAGAAGAAGGGTGGGGATGCGCCGTGGCTCTAGATTTCTAAGGGGTGAAGGATCTATCCAAAAATCTCCTCTATTTTGTGCCTTAGCTCTCCTTTTATGTGAGAGATTATGGCAAAGGGTAATGGGTATTTTGGGTAGGGAAATTGGACTTTGAGTGGGTTATTGGGTTTGTATAGATTTGGATATAGGCTTTGGGCTCAGCATTAATATTGGCCCAATTTCACAAGACAAACCTTTCTTTTCCAACTCTTTCTTTTATTTTTTAATTTTTCTTTTTCTTTTAATTAAAAACATACAAATTAAAAATCCGAAATTATCCAAACATATGAAATTAAACTAATTAGCTAATTATAAAAATTATAAAAATCACTTAATTCTTAACTAAAAGAAAAAAAATCAATAAACTAAAATTAAAAGACAAAAAATGTAAAAATGAGCTATTTTTGTGATTTTCAAATTTTTATAAAACAAGTAACTACCGATTGATCCTAAGAATGTAAAAATAAAGCCTAATGCCATGCATGATATTTTTTGGTATTTTTCATTATTTAAATAAAATTCAAACGTGCACAAAAATGCAAACAATTAATAAAAATCCTACAAAATCCTATAAAATGGCAAATAATTGAAAAAAAATCTATTATCTTTGATTTTATAGGAGCAATTCATATAGGGCAAAAATCACGTGCTTACAGCTGCCCCTCTTTGCTCGGAAACATGAAGAGTTTTCGGGCAAAGATAAAGTGAGCAATATGAGAGATTTTTGCCCGTTTGAAACTCCATGAGAAGCGTTTTTGAAAAGAGCCTGACCGAACCCTGCTTCAGAGGTTGCCTACATATCTTTGGCTTTAAAGGAATCAGGTCAGTGTAGTTCTGGAAGTTTTGGTAGCTGGGACTACCGGGAGCAATGATTTCACTGCTGTTGCTGCTGCTACTGCTTGCTGACCCCCTTATTACACCAAAAGGAAAATCAAAGCTAAGCTAGCTATGCCTATCAACTATGAGTTACAAGATTCCTATCTATAATTCTCTTGAAGCTTGATCTTGAGTCTTAGCTGATTTTGCTGTGGACTCCAATCTGAATCTTGATGCTCGCAAGTTGTAGGTGTTGTTTCTTTCTGCAGCATTGGGTCAAAGCGGAATCAGCGGAGCTTATGACTTTAATCAAATTTTGAGCAATCCGCACCTTTGTTTGCTTCAACATTTTGAATTCATTTCTTTTTGTTCTTTTCTTCTTTTCTTTATTCTGGATTGAGACTCATTCCATCGGTCGTCTCGCACCCCTGTGCCTCGGTGTTAGACCTGCTTAAGACACAAAAACAAACAAACGAACGAAATTTTTCTGCCCCAGTTTTCACTAGGAAAATTTCGTGAGTTAGTTGTGACACATATCTAAGCGATCAAATCAGGATTGTGTAGGGAGATCCTCGGTTTTTGGCCGGGATTTGGAAAGAAAAAGCTCCTCGGTTTTTGGCCGGGATTTGGAAAGAAAAAGCTCCTCGGTTTTTNTTGATTTTATAGGAGCAATTCATATAGGGCAAAAATCACGTGCTTACAGTTAACAATATACTTTGTAAGCTAGAAAACAATCAAAAGTAAGGGAAGGGTAAATCGTAATCAAATATAGTAGACCTAGAGTGTAAAGATGATGTTATTGTTGTAGATCTAGTATTATACAGTGATAATATGAACTCAAGAGAATATGTTCGTTTGAGACAGAGATAGAGAGAGTCAGAAAATGAGAGAGTTGTATTATTCCCGAGTCCTCTTCTTTACAATGTGAAGGTCTCCTTATATAATAAGAGACCTTCCTCGAAATAATCAAAAAGTTACAAAAATAGGTAACGTTTTCCTAGTGAAGACACTGAGTCCTAAACGATGTCGCTTTTGTCCCCACGTCCGAGTCGTACCCATTACGTTAGTCGGCGTACACTCACCGGGCGTACCCATTGGCGTAGAGACGCTGACGGTCAAATTTGACCCCATACAAAGGTTTCTTTTAATTTTCAATACTTGTTTTCTATGAGCACAGTTTTGAGCTAGATTATCAACTTCCTTAAAATACTGTTTCATGTCCTAGTGGTTGTCGAGCCTTGGCATTTCAATAATTAGAAAGAGAAATAGAGCGTCATAATAGGTAGTGAAGCGATTGCAAGTCTAGAGAAGTCATGAGATGAATGAGTTTCCCGGCATACGCCTAGGGCAAAGACATAAAAGTCTCTTTTAATTTTTTCATATTTTTTCTCATGAGCATGAATTTAGGCTAGGTTACCAACTTAAGTATTGTTTTATGTCCCAAAGGTTTTCAAGCCTTGGCATTTTGATAATTAGAAAGAGAAATACATAGCAATATAATAGGTAGTGAAATGATTGAAAAAGCAGATTTTTTAAGGTTTTGACTCTAATATCATCATATGAAATTAACATAACTCAAACTGTATGTGCAAATTTTTTTTTTCTCTCAACTTACACATTATTGGACCACATTTATCCACACACCATCATACTCCCTAAGACTCTTTTCTAAATTATAACTAACACACCAAATCAAAAGCAAAAATGAGTAATGATCAGTGGTGTTGTCATTGCAATGTACTTCCTCCGTTTCAATTTATATAAACCTATTTCCTTTTTAGTCCATGCCAAAGAAAATGACCCCTTTTCTTATTTGAAAATAATTTACCTTTATGCAATAATTTATAGCCACGCAAAATATATGTTCCTCATTTAATACCACAAGTTCAAAAGTCTTCTCTCTTTTTTTAAACTTCGTGCCCAGTCAAATAGGTTCACATTAATTGAAACAGAGGGAGTACTAGTTTTAAAGGGGATCTTTTGTTTGGGGGGGTTTGGGGGGGGGGAGGGGTTGTTCCTTTAAACCCTTATTTTGTCCAAATTAAAAATATGTAATTCACTGGGCTTTACTTGCCACGCTTCAAAAGTGTAGCTATAGGGTACTAGCAAAGGTGTAGCCTATTAACTGTAAAGTGTGGCATGTATAGTAACAAAGGTCACATTGTGCTAGTGTTGCTTAGAGTTAAAGGCGATGCCTGAAAAGTATTGCTCGTAAGATAGTCCATTCGTCTCAATTTATGTGAAGGTGTTCGAATTTCGAGAGTTAAATAAGTTGTTCTTTTGCCACAATTTTATCATGTCTTTTAAATATGCTAAATTATCAATTGTTGTAACTTATAGCACTTTTTTACGTCGTTTCTAATTATGTAAAAAAAAAATCAAATACTTAAAAGTTTTATGTCCAAATATGCATGGTCAAAACTAAAAAGTTTGAATCTCGAAAAATAAAAAATATCATGTAAATTGGGAAAGAAGGAGTATGTTACACTAGCTAGAGAAAACAAATATAATTAACCTATTCCTTATTCACAAATAGAATATCGAGTTGATCTAATTTATTTTAGCTTTAAGGATTAGTTAAATTGATTTTCGAAAAGCACAAAATGTCATATAAATTGGGACGGAGGAGTACATATGACAAGTTTGAATCTTTGCATGATGGCTAGTGGTGCATTACATGCATGCTCATAGAAATGTAGGTGCTAATTACATGCCCAAAATACACAAAAAGAAGCTACAAAGAGGAGTTACGTAAGGAGAGCACTAGATAGAAAAACAAAAGCAAAATTTGATAAGACCTTGCAACAATAACGTATACACCACAAGATCACTAGCTTCAACTAGATGGAGGTAGAATTTAGATTATAAGGAGAGGGGGGACAAGGAGGAGGGCGAACGGGTGTCCTTGGCCACGGTGGGTGCGGGAATGGCGGCCGAGGCGGCTTGGGCGGGAACGGGAATGGCGGCCGAGGCGGCTTAGGCGGGAACGGGAATGGCGGCCGAGGCGGGAACGGGTGTGGCGGCCGAGGCGGCTTGGGCGGGAACGGGTGTGGCGGCCGAGGCGGCTTGGGCGGAAACGGGAATGGCGGCCGAGGCGGCTTGGGCGGGAATGGGAATGGCGGCCGAGGTGGCTTAGGCGGGAACGGGTGCGGTGGCCGAGGCGGCTTGGGCGGCCGAGGCGGGAACGGGAAAGGAGGCAATGGCTCAGCATAGCCACACATTCCATAAAAACAAAGACTAGGAAATTGACATCTATGTTCACAACTTCCACAATGAAAAGGGTTCATATTAGTATTAATACAAAGCCCTCTACAACATTGCCACGTAAAAGGACATCTTATACCACAAAGTCCACAATTATTCACATCACTAGTAACTTCAACACAACGATTCCTACAACAAAGCCTCTTTATTCTAGGAGGAAATTCACCTTCATTACAAATCCAAGGCCTATTCCAACAACCAATGGCTCGTGGATTTTTCACTACTACACTTTTAAGCCACAAAGAAGAAGAATTGGACGAGCCATTTGTGACATTATAATTTTCTTGAAACCCTCCAACTATTTCTACTTGTAAAAATAACAAATATAAGATCAAGAAAACTATTAACTCCAAAAGGTAATTATGCATTGGTAGCAAAGAACATAAAAGAAGTTGGATATAGGTTTTTCTTTTGGTAGTGAAGAAAGTATTATATTATATATAGTTGAAGGGGATATGGTTATTTTCATGCATGAATTGTAAAAAGTTACTAATCATGTTTTTGTTACAAGGGTTAGTACTTTCAGATGATTCTTGTTTAGAGAGTGGTCGGCACAGTATGATATAAGTTATGGTTTACGCGGTTTGATGAGTGAGGAGAGAGTGAATGATGCGGGATTAATTAATTGCACTTTCTACTTAAAAATGTGCTTAAAAACCGGTTCTCTTTCTACATAAAAATGTGTATAATGAGAATACTCTTTTATCTCATTCACTGCCTTCTACCTCAGAGACTTGAATCAAGGGTCTATCGGAAACATATTCTCTAACTTTATAAGATAGGAGGCAAAGTTTGTGTACACATTACCTCCTCAGTACAAATCTTCCTATTACTCTAACATAAGGGAAAAATTAGTACGTACAAAAGCCAAAGTAGTTACTCGGCCCTACCTATGGTTAGCCAAAGTAATATCAGAGCCTACTAGGGGTGTACATGGACCGGGTTGGTTCGGTTTTTATAAAAATCGAACCAAACCAACTATATCGGTTTGGATTAGTTCGGTTTTATCGGATTTTTCGGATTTTTTTGTCATATGAATATTATTTCAATCTTACTTTATTAAATTTTTTATAAGTAATATATATATATATATATATATATATATATATATTTGAAAAAATTGACAATATATGTTCTATTAAGATATTTTTATGGAAGACTTTTTTTAGTAACACATGATAGTTATTTTTTAGTCGTTAGACAATAATTTTACATTGATGTACGCTTTCAAGGTTAACCGAATTTAATAATTAAACATAAAAATAAATATGAACCTATATAATGATATGTTCTATTTAAATTTAAATTATCGAAATACCATTTCAAATTCGAAAAAGATATAAGAATTTAATAGATTTTGACATATGAATATGGAAGAACAAAGAGATTGATGCATTTTACTAACACTTGGTAACAAAGTGATCATACAACCATTATTTAAAGTTAATAAATTGGGAGCACTTCATATTTAACTAGAAATTACATCCTATAAGAGAATCGCAAATATTTCTTGATATTTTTTAAAGAAAATTCTATAAAAAGTCTTAAAAGTATAAAAAAAATTATATATTTATATGTCAGTTCGATTCGGATTTTTTTACTCAATACCAAACCAAATCAAATCAAACCAACCCTAATCGGGTGTTTTAATCTGTTTGGTCTGACTTTTTCGGTTTGGTGCGATTTTCTGGTTCGGTTTGTACTCCCCTAGGCGGGACCCATAGTTAATCTTATTTGCCAAATATCATATATTAAATCATATATCATATATCATATTATATATACGTATACTTATACTTTACTTACTATATTATAAGTGTGAAGGTCTTAATCTAAAGTTAAAAGACAAAAATCTCCCTAAAAATTTGATCTAAAGTTAAAAGACAAAAATCTCCCTAAAAATTTGATGGACGTTTCTGTCCTTTTAAAATATGTTAACCAATCAAATTAGTAATATACAAAACCGTAAGTACATTTATATCTAATTGCTTTTCTCTTTTTTGACTTTTCCCCTCATGCTTACCACATTACCTTATTTTAGAAATCCAAAAGTCCCGATCGGTGATTATAATGTGTAATAAATTTATTAGTAAAAGCAAAAGGAGCTGGACATCAACCTCAAGAAGTTGGAGAAATAATGTGTAATAATGTTTTCCGTTACTGTGATTATATATAATGCCTAATATGGATTTATTCTTGTGATAGTTATGAAATTTCTTGAGGAAATACATATGCAAGAGGAGCTGGAGTTGAGATAAACTTTACTAAGACATTGGAGTGTCTTCTCCTGCAACTAACTTATTCTACTTATAAGGGCTCGAGCTATCTAAATGTCAATGTCAATGGGGAGGAAAAGATCTACACGAAGGTATGGTTAAAATTCTATCCTTTAATATAT